ACGATAATGGCCACCATATCGAGTGTTTGTTGTATACATCCAGAACACTGCCAAGCAGCTGGATGTAAGAGTCTGTGTCTTGAGAGCCGCTCTCAAGGGGCGATAAAGCAGACAGGTATAGCCAAAGACGCCCGTCCGTCTCAAACACGGCGTTTACACCAACGTAGTGGCAAGAACCATGACACTATTCATCAGACATAATCCAAAAATTTATTTGAACGTCTGTCTCGAGTGTTTTATCGACTTTCTTTGTTACGTCGCGAATGCTGTTGAGCAAAACGCATGACGGCCGTGATTTTCACTTTGCCATGGAGCGCGTCAGCTCATTGTCGACTTCTGAAAGCGGAATGTTCCGCTCCACAACCCAGTATATCCACTGGTAACGATGCGACGTCTCCTAGGAAAGTTCTCGAAATGTCGGTCGTTTCTTGACAGAGATGCTCCATACTGGGACAGGCGGGCAATTAGGTTTAAGTAGCCCGAGTTGGGGAGCAGCTTCCACTTACTACCACGTTGTCTGCATCGGTAGCGGCCTTCGCCGAGAGGTTCCTAGAAGTAGGTGCAGATGTCTTTGTTGGAGGGCGTTTTTCTTGAAGGGGATAGGAGGAAGAGGTTCCTTCGAAAGCGAAAAAAGCGAAGTGTGCAATGCGATGCATGTTGGTTGTGTGTGGCTGCCCCGATAATGATTCGCCATCAGATTCTTATGTAACCAATACAGACTGCAAGATATGAATCTGAGACGAACAGCTGGCATCAAATTGTTCCAATAAGTACTTAAAACTGCTGTGAGCCTACTTTTCTAAATTGTACTGCAAATATTGGTACAATATGGTATTGAACTTCTGATGAAATTTTCAATAATCCGTCTTCTATTGTAAAAAACTGATTGTAGTGATACTGAAATTTTATATTCAGAGGTCTGAACTAAACCTACACCTCCTATGGATCCCGAATTTTAGAAGTCTCTCACCGATCTTAAAAATATCGCCAAGGTCTTCTAGAAGCTGCACTTACAGCTGAAGCAACAGCTCTGATACGCGCAGTAAAATTCGGAGACATTCAAGAGGTCTTGTGGCATGCAACAGAGGTTGCTGAACGTATGAGTGCAGCATTGGCGAGCACCGTTTCTCCTTCGGAAAGGGAAATGGTGTTGAAGACCACTGGAAGGTATGTCCAGCACATGCGTGGAGCTGCAACACAAATGTTTATGTATGAAGAAACAGAAGCAAGTGATGCTGTCGACTTGACTGAAAAATTGCGAGCGTTTCTAACTGCGCTCTTAAAACTTCACTAGCAAACTTATTCGAGAAAATGAGACGTTCAAGAGCACTTATGACGAGAGACTGCAGTTTACCCATACGGAATTTAGCTACTTGAAGCACTTGTACTGGCTACAGAACGAAGGTGTTGTTCTGTCAGTATAATCCGCGAACGAGTCGAGTCCATCGCTCCGCCCCTCAAAGAAACAGAAAAAATCGGGAGGATCATCCGTATTGAGTGTAAGTAGTTAAGCGATTTGTCGATACCTATATTGCTCTTGACAACGATATATATTTTCCATCGCATCAATGATATGTAGCCGCTAAACCAACCGTGTTTCGATCTTCTTACGGTCGAAGCGACTCTACTCAATCCATTTCTCAATAGACTTAATGTCGGGTCAAATCTTAATTTTGAGACAGCCAAACACTTCGCGCTCTTCCTTCATCTCCTATTCCACCTTTATGTGCTTGGAGTTGTAGTTACGATTTTTTTATCTCCGCATGAGTAAGAATGAGCTTCTTGCGCTCATCCACCTCGGCGTCACCGCCTTCCTGCGGGATACGCATGTTGCTGTTCTGAATGATCAGCAACTCATCGGTACTGACCTTCATGCCGACCTCGAGACGGTCCACGTACTGAGGCGTGAAGAACAGAACACAGCGAGCCTTGTCCAGCGCGTTCTTGCAGTCGTCACGGCGCTCATCGAACGGCTGCATTTGGCATTGTGATCCTACATAAGAGTACCGCGCTCTAACTGAAGCTAAGCCGCCAATAGTCCTGCTCGCGGGACATTCCTTCCTCGCACTTCCTGTTGCACATATGTTGTTCCTGTGTCTACCCAGTCACTCTTCATCGACGGTGTTGCCTTCCTCAGCTTTGCTTAGAGTCAGCCACTCGAGCTCGAACAATTATGGGTATCCTTGCTCATTTCTATTTCTTAAGATTAGAAATGTGTAATGTCTTTGTACTACCCAAATGAGCGTTTTCTGTAGAGGGCCCTTCTTAGCAATTCCCATAAAAGAATATACAAATCTCATTTGGAAGATTTGAATGCCACCCATTACCTTAGTAAAAGATGCAAGACGTCTGCTTTTATACGTGACTCTCTTGACTTTGTATATTATAGTCAACTCAAAATGGATCTCGAAATGGCTAATCCTTTCGCGATGAGCAGCTATAAGTTTCTCTTAACTATACTATACAAATTCAAGTTATTTGACTGTAAAAGGACGCACATTTCGCCCTTTTAATGAGGATAGTGTGATGATGCAAACACAAATACGAATCTAACTTAGATGAAGTATACTTGACTGTTCGTGAACCGCAATGTGTTCTTGTGTTAAAAGAGAAAGGACAGGGTCAGTTGAGCTTATGCAAAAGGGAGAAAGATGCGACCTTATGCCGCGAAAGGGTTAACGGCCCAGATTTGATACAAACACTCTACAACGAGTGGCTTTCGAATTGTGTGCTTTTCAGATCATTTGCTTTTCTGATTACTGAGTAATAAAGCCAAGGATGAATACATCCACGGAGAGCTTCGTTGATTTGCTTAATGAGATAAACGACGGAGGAGCGCGCCATATGACGGAGATAACAGAAGACGAAGGCACGATCGACGACAAAATCGAAGCGTCAGTTGACATCATGGATACAACTCGAGAGCTCGCTCAGACGCTTTCGCCATGGTGTCGACGCCAGTGAGCTCAAAGTTCGCGACGTTAGTGAGGAAAGTGTATCACAAAAGGTGGGGGACGATTCACTCCCGACTAGCCCTCACTCTTTTCAGTCATACCAGAGCCCTCATATTCACCTCACTAGGTCCATCATAACATACCCGCTTGCTGCAGCTGACCTCGCTGGCTGCTGTCGATGCGTTTTTTCTCTTGCGAAGCTGGTACGACTAGGAAATGATCGTCACAAACACGAACAAAAATCGCAAAGAAGAAAGAGAGTGGAGAGAGAGCAAATGGACAACTATTCACAGAGCTCTATGGTTTGTTGTACGTAACCGAAGACGACCATGCGAGACCTTAATGAATGCAGCTACAGTACACAGAGTGTTTGGAAGTTAGTAACGCAAACACCTTTCTATCCCTAACATTATTGATGATTACAACCACAGTATGAATGGAGTGGATCTGGCTGATCGCTATCGGTCCTACTATTGCCTCCAGCTCATATCGCTCAGAACCTGGATATCGCTTTTCTTTTGGCTGCTGAACACGACAATTGCCAACTCCTACTTTATTTACAAGTCACTGTTTCCATCTTTGAAGTGGAGCCATAACGAGCTGCGTTTGCAGCGTGCGTGGGATTTGTTAATAGTGCCACGATAGACGAAGAATTAATTAAACGGATGAAGAAATGACCGGTGTTTGCCACCCGTTGCCGCACACGCGCAATCTAGCACTCAGGATGAATACCAGCGTCAAGAACCATACCTGTAGACCACCTTCCAGTTGTCGCTGAGCCCCAGGCGAGGTGTTTTTTGTGTCAGTTCAAGACTAAATCATCCGTTTCGGTCAATGCGGCACCCCAAACGCTAATTGTTTGTGAGTACTGCGAGATCCTATTGTGCTTAAGCGTAAAGACAACTGTTTTCGCGATTTCCATCGGAAAGAAGTGTAAGTGCGATCAATATATTTCTGTTTTATGCGATATTTATGTGATATGTGACAATGTTTTAGTGAGCGACGAAGGGATACATCGCGTGAACAGATTTTGCCTTAAACTAGAAAATGTATCAGGATTCGCTCATACTATTTTTCTCCGTTGGTGCAGCAAAGTCGGGTAAACCTGCCGCGTAAATTTAGCATAGCATGGACAAAAAAATGTAATAACAATAAAATGTGGTTTAAGGAAAGACCCATTGTTGTGGTAGAGTAAACCTACAGTGTTTTACAGATGCGGTCTAGTCAGCCCCAAGTCATAACTGGATTGTGGCCCGACAGAACCGCTGACGACCGAAGATAACACTTGCAACGCAGAAGAACAGATCTGTACGCGTTTGAGGCAGATGCAAAAATTATTGGGGGAGGTGGTACGAGTTGAGCAACAGGATTATTGCGGAGGAAATTGCAGATGCCAAGAAAAAGGGGTGTAGAGGTTAAGATATACCTCAGCAAAGTCATGCTCGATCATGCAGTTGGTACGTTGGTGAATCTACTTGATGCTGATGTTGAGGTTGAAGTAGCTGACGAAGGGAGTAAATTACACGCAAAGTTTGCTTTGCTGGATGACACAGTAATGCTTGGCTCCGCCAATATGTCTTTGGATGCTTTTTACAACAACATCAAAGATATACTACTGATATACAGCCTGCAAGAACATAAGTTTATGCGTTATTTTATTTATGACTCTTTCCCGTTATAACTTTGCAGTTATTTTCATGTTTTTCCTTAGGATACGAAGCAATATTTAAGCGGAGATGGAGAGGTGCTCAGTGTTTCAGAGATAACTGGACGAAACTTAATCACCCAAGGCGGACTTCTCCTTACTACTACAACAAAGTAGTGAAGTGTCCACTCGCCACCAATGGGCTACGTGCAATTTTCGATTAACCCTATACACCCCATACACCGGAACTGCCTCCAGCGAAGTGACCAAATGAGCGGTGTAACAGGGTAGTTGTCGTCGTCCTCGGGTTGATCACATACAGTCAAACTGACGGGGATTCCACTGCACGCCTTCGACCGCGGAAAACGCCGAAAGGACTTCCCAATGTATGGCTTTTGGTCGTTGTGTGTTTTGACCACCACCAGTCCTTCAACTAATACCGTACAAAGTTGTGCTTCGACCAAAGAAGCTCCGAAATTTGGAAGAAAGTATTGTAATCGTGTACTTACTGATTCAGGAAGGAATATTTCGTTTAATTAGCTATTTGTCTTGTTTCCAATATGGGCATTTTTTTTATTTTGAGAACCCTGCATAAAATTCTTAAAGGAACCTATTAGTGCTTCGTTCTTAGACCAATCTGCAATTGCATTTGCTGTTATCTCCGCGTCACGTAATGGAATGGGCAGCAGCAACCAACTACTCGATTGGTGGGAGACAGAAAATTCTCGACTGTAAGACAATATTCAGACGCCGACTTCGGTTCCGGGGCTCACCTGCCGATGACATACAGTATAAGAAGTCATCCTGGAGACGGCCACTTGGTAGCTTAAGGCCGCAGCAATCATCACGGCAAGGGGTCGTTCACAGCAACGTCCTCCTCAGTCCCAGCGTTTGCAAACCACTCTCCCCCGCTCACTGAACCCGCGAAACATTTCAATCTACCGCCTCAGTACGCGCCAAGGTCCTATTTGCCCTATCAACCCTCGCTCAGTAAGTCTTTCTTTTGTTGAGTGAGGCCGGCCCCGCAGAACCGCAGAATCTCACGCGTATATTAGCTGCTTAATTCAGCCCATACTTGGGCGACCACCGCCGGCCGTCCAGAACTCTCCTACGAAGACTACTCCTACCTATCGATTCTTCACGTCCATTTCTCTCGCCAACGCCGCCTCTCCTTTTCGCACTCATCTTCATCGTACTTGAGGCTGCGTCACTCCTCCCGAGCGATCTTCTTTCAGCGCCTTCTCACCCACTACCCCCTTTTGGCCGCTGGCTGGTGCCTCCAGCAAAAGGTCCTAGCGTACGTCTGTCACCGACTGCACCGTCCTTCTAGCTATCTTCAACGTCACTCGCCATCAGATCAATCGTCGCTGTGTTGGGGTCCTGCGCGACGTCGACACTGTGACGCGCGCGCCGCCTACTCACCTATCCGGCCACCTTTTAGCTCGGAAAACACTTTTGGTTTGCCGCTGATGTTCATTGCAATGAGGTTTCTTTTGTGCGACTTTAATATTGTGTTAGTTCTATTCAAATATTCTGTGCGCGGTTCTTTGATTGAACTCGTACACAACCACCCAAATCGGCTAAAGAATTTAGTTGATTATTGACTCGCTGAAGTACGATGGTGATAGTAGATGGTCCAGCCCTAAGCCATTTCACATTAACAGGGATTTTGTATGCCTGTGACTTCTCGAATAGAACGGAAATGGCAAATCTGGCCGGAATTGGCATTCTCTGACTTACGTAAGAAATGTGTGGCTCTCCCATCCAAAACGTAGGTGGGTTGGCTTATGATTTCCGGAATCTATGAATCGCGGCAGACTGAATTTTACGAGAGGGAACTCTCAGGGATAGAATCCAGTTGAGAATTCGTAAGTTCTGGCTACCGACGATTATAAACACTTCTAATTGGTCAAAATTGCTTAATTCCTAGGGCGAGCCTCCATAGTGAAAATAACATGCCTGCTAGACGTTTGCTGGGTGCTGCTGTCGCTGACGCGAAGGCAATACGCGACGCTTGCATATTCCCTGACACAAGGAATAAGTACACGGGCAACATCAACGCGATCAAGAAATGGATAAGCCCTAGAGGACCCTCACACAGCCAGATTTTGTTTTGCTTAAATGGAGAGCTTAATCTCTCGGAGTTACCCCGGCCGTTTTTGACGATTTTTTGTGTACAAGCGATCTCGTGCAAAATCGGTGACGTTGAGTGGATATCGAAGTGCTATAAAGGACCTTTACCGCTTAAAGCGGCTTCCACTACCTGTGGGATATGGAGGTGCCATGAAACAGTTATTTTCCGGGATGAAAAACTGGAGGCTGATGAAAACCAGTCAAGCTCACCTAAGCGTTCTGGCAAGCAACCACTTACGTATTCGCTCTACAAGGAGCTGTGTACTTCTACTCTCAAGCGAAATGACAGTGGGTTTTCCCACCTTTTCTTGACAACTCAATGGAATCTGATGTGTAGGTCAGCTTCTGTTCAAACTCTTCAAACGCAGCACTTATTACCGAAAGATGACAGTGTAGGAGCAATATTTTTCAAGACGAAGCCGAATCAAGAGGGTTCAGGGCCTCGTGACCCTCGCCATCTCTACGCCAATCCTTTTAGTCCGTCTATATGTTGGATGACTGCTTTGGGAGTTTATTTGGCGTGCCATCCTCGCATACAACCGAGTGGATTATTTCCAGGCTCCGACCCAAAGGTTAGCTTTGGCAAGGCTCTAGGCAGCTTTCTACAAAAAGATGGTATTGGGAAGAGCTACGGTACACACGGGTGTAGCTACATTCTCTTGTGGAGGGAGGGCGGGAGTACGGGCGGCCCTTCTATAGTAAGTGTCTGTCTTCGGTGTGGTTGGTCTCTTGGTGGCGTGCAAGACAGATACTTTCGATACAAAGCTGCGGGTGATCAGTTTTTAGGGCGTGTGATTGCAGGTCTTCCTGTAAATGATTCAAAGTTTGCAGTTCTACCCCCTCATTTTGTCGACAACTTTGATGAAGTGATCAGCTCAACCATTGCAATTATATTTCCTGGACTTGCTAGTGAACGAAATCTGTCTGGGATTTTGAGTTTGGCTCTCGCTTCTCTGGTTCATCATGCTGAGTTCTTGCTGGACAGCTTGCCAACCAACCATCCGCACCTTTCAACATTCCTTTCCACTAATCCAACTGCTCTGAACGAACTAGGAGCAATGCTGGAAGGTGGAGAATCTAAATGGATGGAAGCAACAGGTATACCACCACACACCAACCTGTACAAAAATCGAATACGTACTATACGTGGGGCGGGAAATTTCATCGACTCCCTAAAGACTTTGATTTTCCGAGAATAGACCCTCTTGGTGCATGGAGACTGTGGTGGTTTGGCGATATCCGACGTGGATATCCTCCTTACAAAAGCATTTCTTCGGATGACCTGGATACACCAAAACAAGAAAGCAAGTCTGTCAGAATGGTAGATACTAATTAGGCACATAATTAATGGATCGAAGAGAAAATGGGTTCACCCATGCCAGCGAATTCCAAAGTCAATTCAATATTAAAAAAAAAACATGAAAAGACGAACCTTAACACGCTGTTCGACCCGACAGCAATGATTCAAAAATGAATTGAATTGTCACTTCCTCCAAGTCCAAACATCGCTAGGTCTTAGGTTTCTAATTTTGCCTAGTGCGTTGATGCGCATGCTCCCTGCATTTAGCTATGCGGTCGAGGATGTCTGCCAGTAACATGCAACCGATGTCGATGTGGCACTGGCAAGAAAGATTTGAGCATGTGGACGTGGAGGACGCGTGTCGACGGCAGATCCTCAAGGTGCGATTCATCCATTGGTCAAAGATGTTGAAGTTATCTCCACGCGTCACAGATCCCAAATGCTGTAGATCCGCAAGTCCAAGTCGTACAGCCTCTGGCTGAAGGAAAAGCAAGCTAGTACGCAGCCTAGCGTGCAAACACTTGGTGGTGACGATGATAACCAGGAAAAACAAGCTGATATCGACGCTGCCTTCCGAGATTGGCTCCGTCGTAAACGCACCAGCAAGAAGCAGAAGGGCGCTGTCGATACAAAAAGCAATTTGCAGGTATGCAGTCGAGTTTGTAGCTTAGTAACGCTGCATCAATATCCTAACCATGTATTGTTAGTCGTGGTGTAAGCCTCCATCTTTGCATGTCAACCCCAAGACGAAGAAGCGATCCACTCGCAAGGCGGAGCGTACGTCTTTGAATGAAGCCAACAAGACACTGTATCTGCATCGGGAGCGTTCGGAATCTGAGAATCAACAGGCCTACAACGCCTGGCTAGCTCGAGTGCGTCAAGAAGACGGGGTCAGACGAACGCAACGCCGTGACGAGCTCGACAGACTCGAGCAGCAGCAACGTGAGAAGCACAAGAAAACTTGGCGGAAGAAAGTAGCGGTTTGTGCGTACTCAACCTTAGCACTCAATAGCTAATGAATCAATCCCCTAGCTAAATATCTGTCTCCTCCATTCTCTCGACGACAGTCTCTTCATCGGGAGGGTTTTGCCGTCCCGTTGGGCTAGCATTCTTCCCCTCGCCTTTAGGTGATACGTGAATCAACTGATGCTTGTCCTCTGTAGCGTGGTGTGGGATACTTCCACCCATAATACGCTGTAGTTCTTTACTCATGAATTCACTCGCAGTGGGGCCATGAAGTTCCACGTCTTCGCAGAAACATAGCAAGATGGTGTCGATAGCGATATCGTAGACGTTTACAAAGGCAGAAGCCACCAGCCAAGCGAGCACGCAGGCCACAACGACTGGCGCTAAAGGCGACATCACAGTCGCACCTCCCAAGAGTGAAAGTTGGTCTGCTGATAAGGAAAGTGACGACGATTTGGAAAGCAACGCGAAAACCACAAGACCGACAGCAAGAGTGACAGTCATCTTAATGAGGAACAACAGGAAGAAGCTGATGGAGTTCACCACTGCTACGCGTGCCATGTTCTTGAAGATCAACTTGAACGAGCGCGCCGATGCCGCACAGAACGAATTACCTTTCATCGCGATTAGGATGTAGGCGTTCTTGGACAGGAACTTGATGCACTTCTCGAAGCACCAAAGACAGCATTTGACTGCGAGAAGTGCCACACGAACAACGCGATTCGTCTGCTGAATCTGCTTCGTACTGCGCAAAAGCAAAAGAATTAGCAACAGTGGAAACCAGTTCAACTACAGGTTGACTTACTTGCGATCGAGATACTCGAGCATGATTCGAAGGAACTGGACGAAGGCGATAATGAAAGATCCAAAGCAAAGAGATCCGATACTGAAGCGTAGTGTATACCCGAGTGCTCGGGATATTGGAAAATTTGATTCCAGCGTTCGTTTTCCATTATCTGAAGGTGGTGTCCAGTAGAATTGAGCGACAGTCCCAGCAATAACGCAAATCGAGATAGCTTGTAACAGTTGGTTTGTCCACAGAAATCCAAAAACGTGGAAGGCAAGCAGCACTTGTTGCAAACTTTTGGCCGGTAGCTCTTCCGCGGCACTTAACTCGCTCATGACATTGAACGTTGTAGCTGATTCCTTCACGGCTGCCGTCAAATCGTCCGAACTCAAAAGATAGGCTGCTATTGCCACGCTGTAGACAACGAGCCCTACGAAGAATGCAGTCGGAATGACTGGCCAAAGCAAAAGCATTGGGAGTTGTTGGATTGCCTTGGAGCTCTCGCGGATAATAGCAATGGCGATTTTCAAGCGTTTGCGCATTGCAATGATGAGCAAGAAGACAACTGCTGTGACCACCCACGATACATATGCAGCAGCCTTGAATTGCAGCTTCGTGTTCTCGTCGCTCGTCACAGCCAACGCAGTTGTGTCGATGGTGGTGGCATTCAAGAATGATAGAGCTCCTATGTCTTCTGCCGAGATCAACTCCGAGCGTACAGAGCAAAATAAACTCAATAGAATTAGCCCGATGAGTACAAGCGAGCACGTAAGCCACACCACGCAGCCAGCGAAGAATTGCAGCACGATTAACCAGAGCATTCCAAGAATTAAAGCCCCCAGACCTCCGACCAGTAAAACCACCGAACGAGCAGCATACATGTCGTTCAAGAAACGCCCAAGAACTTGTAAATTTCCCTGCAACTGGCTCAACAATGGGCTGGTGCCACCAGTAGCTTCCACTTCCCATACTTCCTTGTGAGAACGCTTTGTGTTGCAAATTGTGTCGCATTCGCCAGCTTCGTACAGATCCACAGTACAGTTTGGGTCAGCGCCTTTAGGGTCGATACAAACTTCATCCAGTACTGTTTCATTGGTGGATACTACTGGTAAACACCGGAAGAAGGCAGACTCGGTGTCCTGAGCGACAACCCAACACGTCTCGTTACCGTACGTACAGGTTTTAGAGCCAGCAGTAGGGCAGCTTTCCACACAAACGCCGAAGAATTTGGCATTACTAGGAGATACCCCATTTGCTGCAGCAATTAGAAGGTCTTCGTTGAGTCGAGGGTATGTCGTGAACCGCGCGTTGGCGAAGTCACCTTTTCCACACACATTTCCATTGTAGTCTTTTCCGTAGATGAGGCTGTTTGAACACGCGAAACAAATATTTAAGACCATTTCCATACTTTGGTCAATTTAGTTGCAAACTTCGTACCTCAAAGGTTCTCCTGTCTGTAAAGCGATGATGGCTACGACGATCTGAAAACCTCAAAAGTGAGCCATAGTGAAACCCAAAAGTTTAGAGTGACGTCCAGTTAGTTTACCATGCCAATCCAGTATACTATAAACCAGAGGCAGCAAAATCCATCTCGACATCTACATAGTAATGGTCACAAAGGTGTTGTTTAGACGAAGCAGCAAACCCCAACATCCTCAGCTCGTACTTTCGCTGACTTCCGGGTACAAGTCCACTTCTTGGACCTGCTTCCTCTTTCTCAGAGATGACTTCGGGGTTTGGACAACATCCAACCATGTTGCAACAGTCTTCAAGTCTCTTTGTAGAAGTTCTTCTCAAGATGGGGTCATACGAGTCTATTTTCCTAGCTGCCCGAAATGTTCCTGCAATGGCACTAGCAGTAGTGTCTCGTGTCAAGGAAACTGCCACAAGTGGAAATAGCTGACAGAATGACCATGTCACCGGAGACAGATTCGAACGACCATGTGCCGCTTGAGTTTCTGCTCGGTGCACGTCTGAAGCACTACTACCAAGGCACTTCAACAGGCAAAAATCAAGGACGTGGCAACAAAGTATGTCTCGGATAACCCGTAAAAATGATAAATGCTAACACTGTTTGTTAGACAAAGCGTATTTTCGCACCAGCGGTCCACCCACGAAGACGAGAGGAGCAGGCTCGACAATTGTTGCAACGCGTCTTGGATCAGAATGACCCACGTAGACTCGATGGTCCGTCCGAATCGGAAATTCGAGGCGAACCTGACAAGCCATCACTACTGAAAGCTCTTACTGAAGCTGGCCAAGAAGTCTTCGATAGCGTTCAGTTGAGCTTGGAGAATACAAGCCTTAGTCCTGCTCGAATCAAAACGTTGCAACAACTTCGTGACGAGGAATTAAGGCGGCAAAACCAGCGGGTTGCCAGTTTCCACGGCTATGAAGAAGACAGACCTTTCTTAGGTGTCACAGGGGCTGCTGCGCACGTTCCACGCACTAATACTAAACAGCTTCGAGATCTCAAAGCAAAAAAACAATTGAAAGACGAGGAAAGGCAAGAATTGCTCGAAGTTCTACGGGAACAGCAAACTTTTACGCGAACAGCGCTCCATCAACACCAGCAACTTACAAAAGTACTTCAACGACAGAAACATCCAGGTGTGGTATCCACAAGCCTGTTATCCCTCGACTGTATCGAGAAGGATAGTAACATCCGTGACGAAATAGCTGGACGGAAGACTATGCCGCCGTTGCAGCTTCCAGAGTCGTACTACAGACAGCATCAGCATCAGGAGCTGGAGCATCCACGACGACCCGCCTTAGCAACACTGAACTTGGATGCACGAGCGTTGTCTCCAAAAAATGCATCTGGTTGCGATAGATCGTCTCTATCTACGAACGAAGAAGATGATTCGGACGCAGATGAAGACAGCGAACAAGTTGGAAAACGCTTAAGTGATCGACAACGCGAGGTATTTGCAAACAGTGCAGCCAACGGGTTATTCCTCGGTGGAGGTTTTATCTCCAAAACGAAAGACAAGAAAATCAATCCAATTTCGATCAGCAACTCAGGCAATGAACCCGATAAAGCTGAGGTCCTTGACGCTGTGCTCGGTGCTCAGTCTGCCTCTATTCTTCCACTAGCTGAAGCGAACAAGCCAGCACTTCGTCGTCGTGAAGCAAGTGCAGGTCGTCGACATCCTAAAATTCTTCACAAAGCTCCAAATAACGGATAAAAATGCCTCATTCAACATCTCATCATTTATTTATCACAGAGTGATGTTCGTCACAGGAGGAAGAGGACGGCACCTCACTGCTGTTCCATAGCAGATAACTGAGCAATGCATACCGAACACCAGTCGGTTCATTGTCGTATTCGAGTCGAACCGGACGTTAATGACTGCCGTGGCTCCCTGAGCTCTAGCCGCGTACTGCACTCGATGTACCGCCTCAGCCATCGTCTCGTTCATCAACGAAGTGTACGACGCAGCTTCGCCACCCACGAGTCCCGCTAGAGCCACATACATGTCACTAATGACGGACTTGGAGCGCACAGCCACAGCCGACACCATTCCGAACTCCTCCAGCACTTCTCGCCCTTTAATGTGACCACCTGCAGCAAAAAATAAAAATTATTGTAATTTGTTGGTTGAATTTTACTTATTCATCTCTATCGGCGACATACGCGTGGTGAAGTAGAGCGACTCAGTACGATCTTCGGTGGCGCTGGTTCCTCCTGTTGCGGCGCTGAAGGCGCGGCGGGGCGTTGACCGCTGCACGCGGCGTGCTACCCGCGCCAGCATTATCGGGAAATCGCAGGTGGGTACACAAGTTTGACACACAATAATTGTAGTGAAATGATGGCAACGTCATGTTGGGTCAACCCTTCTCGGAGGTTCGTGGTGATACTATGTTAGATGTCGCCTATCCTATTGTGTATTTTGCAAGTAGTTCCCGACGTAGTCGAGGACTGCGTTGCCGTAACTGCAGTGGTGATCCTCCACTACGACTGCTCTTGCGTGTGCTGGTGCTAACTCGCTGGAAAAAAAAAAAGGTTAGCCAAAGTAATTGTTTCGATCAAGTTGACGCGTACTCACCTCAGTCGTTGCCATGCGATAGGCTTCTGCTGGAGAATACGAGGTTCGTTCAGCCTGGTTGTTGTCCTCAAACTCAGTATCGACGTCTGCTGATTTCTGTTCCTGCTCCGGTTTTGCTTGTTCGTCCTCGTTATCGCGTACTGGTGTCATAAGCGAAACCTCCTCGATGCCATCGTCGTCATCCCATTCACTGTCATTTTGGTTTTCTGCCATAGCCCGCGCTCGCAGCTGAGCTAGTCGCAATGCTCGCTGGTTTCTCCTCTTTCGACGCTCCTCGAACCACCTCTTGCGGCGATTGATGTTGTAAACGCGAAGCACGACACAAGCAGCGAGAAACATGATGCCAATAAGTAGGAGAATCCCATCCAACGCCATTCCGTCGTGATGTGGCTTTGCGATGGCTTTCACATTGAATGCCGGCGCGGCTGAAGAGTCGACGCAATGCTCAAGAATTGGTACTGGCGTCACGATAACTGTCTGTGCATGCTCGATTTTAATCTCTTCGACGTCAGATTGAGGTAAAGACTCAATTTTGGTTTCAGGGCCATTCACATGTAAATGTGATATTGACGGAGCAACGGCTACCTCCTGCTCCGGTAACGAAACCTTCTTCTCCAAATTGTCGAGTTGATTAGAGGCTTGTCCGGACGAAACATTGACCTCATTCGACTCGACAGGAGCGACGATCTCCTTGTGGCTCTGCTCAGCGTTAGAGAACTCCAGGTTCGTGGCTTGAGCTGTGTCAACCTTGTGCCCATGCTCAATGTCGCCAGAACCCGACAGAGACTCTAGGTTAGACTTATCCTTTGATACATCCGACCGAACGTCGAGCTTTATTTCAGTTGTAGTTTCTCCCGGCTCCTCGTCCTTTTTGTATTCATGTCCGGCAACTGCATTGCGCTTGTGTGCGTTCTCTTGGTTAATCACCTGGATCTTGACCATTTCCTCCAGTTGTGTCTGAATAGATTCCCGTTCCTTCTCCACCAACTCATGGGTGACATGTACAACATGTCGACGCAGTTCTTGCATCTCATTCGCGAGCATGTCTTGATGCTTCTCGCGATCAAGCCGCATCCTATCCATGTGCTGACGCAGCTCAGCTAGAGCAGTCTGCGACTTCACCTCAATCTCCGATGTCGACAACTGAAATCCCTGAAGCTCCTGCTGCAGAGCGCTTACTCGGTTGCGCATTCGCTCTTGTTCTCTTCTAGAAACCGTGAATAGAGTGCGTCTCGAGAATAATCCCACCAAACTCATTAACTCTTCCATGAAAAACCCGCTCGTCCCCACCACCAAGCAACTAGCCACCACGATCATATTCCATCGTGGAATCTCCATACCAGAAGCTCCTATTCGTACGCCACCATGATCATCCGCAGACCCGTCACGACAGAACTTATCGCCATTGGAATCGTCGTCGTTCTGATCACCAGCTACAAGATCTCCACTGTCTGGCTCACCTGTCGACTTGTTCATCGACGCCAGCATCTCTGAAATCGTTTGCGTTGAAGTGGGGGCATTCGAGTCGGCAGCACGCGATCCATCGCTATGCTGCATAGTGGATATCACTGTCTGTTTACGTGTTGGCTGAGAGCATAACTCATTGGGTAACACCTTCTGCGGTGACTTGGGTCGCTCATCTTCGTAGCACGAACTGCCATGCGAATTCGATCTACTGCGTGAGAAAACCTCTGGGAAACTGCTAGTCGAGTACACTACAGGTTGTTCTGGTACTTTCTTCGCCTTGGCACGAGCAGCTTTAGTTCCGTAAAAGAAATCATTCCAGAGTGCTTCGTTGTCTCCATCCTTCGCAGCTTTCTCCAACAATCTGTCAGCTTGTAGTGCGTCTTCCTCCTCCCATCGTTTTATTGCGGATTCATTCAATTCGTCCTGATTCGACCGCATCGCAGTGGTACGCCATCTATCTGGAGTCTCCATCTGGTTGTACGTCAGCGAATGCCTTGGTGACGGCGATGCTGTCGTCCCCACCAATCGTTTCGGCGTTGGAGCTTTAATCCTTGAAAACGATAGCTGTTGTCGGAATCCTGAGCTTGAACTGTTGAGTGAGGACTCGCTTGGTCTCACTGGAGAGTAGAAATCGCCTGCAGCATTAAGTTTCTGTCCTGTAGAGCGTAAAGTGACATTCTTGATGGAATTAGCGCTTTTTGGCTTGGAGCCCTCGGGACGGCGTAAAACTGGCAACTTTGACGGATACTGTAGTCTGGACGGCTTTAGGTGTTGATTGGATGTGGCTGCTTCTCGCTCGTCTCGCTCCATTAGAAGCGACATAAGTGCGTCCTCTTCTGGGTCGTGCACGGGTCGCGGTCTCCTACGGTCGCTGCCAAGGCCAAGAGAAGGCGCTGCCATGCGCATCACACGCCGTTGTGTAGCCGCAATGTGTTTCTGATCTTGTTCAAGCTGCCACTGGTGCAGTGCGTTGCGAACTGGGCGATGGCGATCATGAGCTGTTGCCATCGAAAACGTCGGAAGGTCCAGGTTTTCGTTGAAAATGTGGATTCGACCGTTTTTGCCTGTAGGTTTCAGCTAAGAGGGTCTTAGTGAAATCAAGATATTTAACAACTTCCCGCCAAAACGGATGTTGCCAATGAAAATGTTTGTCATGTTGCCATGGGACAGAGTGAAACGGTTAGCACTTGCGAAAAAAACGTTGTGATATCAAAACTGCATGGCTCGATTCATTATCGGTTGGTTGATTAACTAACTGTAGTCACTTGTTCGCTTGGACTGGTGCTTGTTTGGCTGCTTGTGTTGTTCATCTAAAGTACACCCGCTGACTTTGCAGCAGCACGTCGTCAACATAGAAAACCTCCAAGAAGAGGGTGAAGCTTGCGTCGTTCCGTGAGGGCGGGCCCTCGGTGGGGGGCGTCACCATTGCCTTCGTTTCCCACCAAGGCCTCACGGTTTAAAAAAAACGGTGGTTGGGGTCTGCATCTCCGTTCACAGTGCCGCTGTTGCTTCCTCTCCGCTCGCCCACGTAGCACTCGGCGTACTCGTCCCGTGTCGTCACCGACAAAATCTCGCCCATCTTACGTTTGAAGCGCTCGCAGTACGCAGCAGGAGGAATTGCCGATAAGCCGTCGGCGTCCTTAGCCAACAACTTGGTTTTAGCAAAGCGCTCCAACTTCTTGTCCATGTTCCATGTCTGAAGAATGTCAATGAGACCGAAGTAGTAGATTGATGGACCCACGACGGTATTCGCTCGACGCGTACCCGTCGCAACACGTGGGAGATGTTGACGAGGCTTGGACTCCCTCAAAGGCGCACCGTTCATTGTGGAATTGTTGATAGTACGGCGTCTCGGTCCGACCGCATCCTTCGGTGGAATAACAGGCTCTTCCTCCAGATCCGGATTCACCATGTACTCGACATTGTGGATACCCAGCAGGAGCGAGTAGTCCATAATTCCCAAGCGCGAGAGGAAATTGGCGTCCTTCACGACCTGGTCGTACAGCTCTTCGGCGACCTTCGGGTCCAATCGAACTTTGGCCGTCAGATCGTTGTCCTTAAGAATCACATTAGGCTCGTGGCGACCAACGCGTGCCCTGCAGTTCTCAGCATCAGTCGAGCCGAAGACGTACTTGGCATTACAGTGACGACACGTAACCCGCTTGCCCTTGGAAGGATGCTTGGCACTGCGGTTCACCCAGGACCCCTTGATGTCGTAGCGACGGTGAATGACCTTCTCCGTACTGAACAAGTTAGCCATGACGACGAAATTGAACGTGTTGCCGTATAACCGAATAGCGTGGCATCCGTAGAACCGAGTGAGCAAACTGTCTGGGTTCGTCAGCAAGAAAGACGCGTACTCTGCAGCGATCGACCGCAGGAAGACTGACTCCTCATCGCTCATACTCTTCACAATCAACTGCTGATCATGCGAGAAGAACATAAAGGCGCCACTGGCACCTTCACTCAGACGTTCCTTGGTTGTTCGGCTCAAACTCTCGATGTATCGGTTCGTGTCAATGCCAAAGTGTTCACGGATGGTCTGGAAGGTGTGCGGACAGTAGTCAATAAATAACGTGCCCTTTCCAAGTGCTGCTTTCGGTCGCGTACGAATCATGTACTCGTCTACACCAAGTGATCCACGGTTGTCCTCTGTGCCTTGAGGCTGCAGATACAACTCCTGCTGGTTGGCTCCAGGGGGAAGGTGTTGCGTGTCACGCACAGCCTGAATGATACCAGTCGTCGTGTAGTACAGCACTTCGCAACGCAGAGCCAAATTCACTTGCGGACTCAGATCAACATCCACATCGACGTCCGCCTTCTTCCCTTTGCCCTTCTTCGATACTTCGTGGAAATCGTTCATCTGGAACCAGACCACGAAGTCGAAGTAACCCTTGCACGTGATCATGAAGTTCATCATTTGCTCCACCCAACTCGAACGGTCATCGCCTTGCACCAGAAACGGCACATAGATACAAAAGGAAAGTCCCCAGTAGATGATAATGGCGATCACATAGCTGAAGATGGTCAGAACAGTATTGTCAGGTAACATCCTCTAGCGATATTATACGAGCGTAAGAACTTACATCGTAACCGAGTGCAGCACGCGAAGACGCATACGCAATGTCTCCGAAAGACCGGAATTAAGACGTCTATATGCCCAGAAAATAACACTGCAGGAAAGGACCAAAACGTGCTCCCGGTCAGTATCGCATGCAACAAGTGGAGACAAACCTCAAGGACGTACGTTATGGCGTAAACCCAGTACAAAATGAGCCAAATGTAGAAAAGCAGCCACGACCTGATCACAACAAGCAACACCTCAAGTTACTACCCCCTCTATAGCACAGCAAATGCCAACTAAACGTACTGAAAATTGAGGTTCCAAAGGTTGCCCGTCTCGCTTGTATCTGAACTTTCACTGTTGTCATGGCGCAACTTGCTCTTGCTTGCAGTCCAGCAATATCCAAATTCCGATTCGCCGGCGAAATCGGGGATGGATACCAGCAAAATGCACGTCAACAGACCTAAAGGCAACAAACAGCTCACAAATTAGCACGAAATATCAACTGTAAAACAGAGTGATCTGACATACCTGTGGCCCATACAAAACCATGATAGCGACGCATGTTGCTCTTGTAGTCTGTGAACGGACTCTGCAGTGACGACAGCATGTCGATGGCCATCACGAAGAACCAACTCTCCGACGTCCAGAGGAAAAACTGCGTGAGTGCTGCTGTGGCCGTACAGGACGCCCCTGTAAGTGTGTTCGAGCAGTCGCCATTGCCACACTTGTACAGCTCCGTGATAAGCAACACCGCCACCAGACAGATATCACAGATACTGCGGAAGAAGATGATGGGATTCGGGTGTTTCCGCCAGGTCGGGCGCGTCAGGAACGTGTACACCACCGCACAGCAACAGAAGAGCGTGATGAGACTGCCTGCCACGAGTCCAACTGACGCGTCGGCGTCATTATCCGCAAACGTCACAGTCATCGCAGCTCCGCAGATGAAAATGAAGAACATGATGCACTGGATCTTGTAGTTGTTGGCCCAGTGGATGGAGTTCTCGACCTTGATCTTGGCGTGGAACCAGCCGATGCCTTCATTGGGGCCGCCCTGGATCTTGTCGGTCACGTAGCTGCCATTATCGAAGCTGTCCTCGGAGCTCTCATCTACAGAACGCATTTGTTTAGAGCTGGGAGGTTTCTTGAGCTCAATTGGAGTTTTCATGGGCGAATAGCCATTACTGCCGAGTCAAGTTAACACATAACACAACGTTAATACCAGTCGCAACGCCACAACATCATAACAGCGACGCACCCTGCTTCCAGCATGCCATTAGGGAATCCCTGGGCGTTGGGAGCGCTGTCTGTACGGTAATAGGGCATATCACTGCCGGGCATTTGCCGCTCGGACTCAGCCATGCCGTATTCCATTTCGTTCGGATCAAAATGCTGTTGCGGTCGCTGTGGAGGCGGCGGTGGCGGAGCGTGAGGACGGCGTGACTTGGTTTTGCGGCTGGACGGCGCTGAACTGTTGGTGCCGCTGTAAATCGGCTGGCGCTCGGTCACACGGAGGCCGCCGCTGTCTCTATTATCTCTGCTGGCCATGTGCAGCTAACGGAAGCGTCTGTGTCCTCCTTCAACAGTGCAGGCGTCGCTGGGGCCTGTAGAAAATGTGTAGCGAGGGCGAGGGCGACGGCGGAGGATGCGGCACTTCTGGCTCCCTGTTCGAGGCTTTTCCCGTCGCTGCGGCGTCGATCGAGGTTTCCTGCCGCTCGTCTCTTTCGTCAAGTGCTGGGCGGCCCAAAAAGCCAGCGCCGGTTATTGTGGGAGGTTGCCCGAAGGTCGCGACAGCATGCCATAAACGTGCGACACTTTATCCGGCGCTGTCAAGTAGGTACCCAAGATCTGGCAGAGAGAATTTTTTCTCGTTGTAGCCGCCTAGGATATGTATCCCAGAGCTGCCAGCTTCAGCTCGACTGAAACATACTTGCTGGCAGTAACTTGCTGCATTATGAGCTAGTAGCTCAGCTGCTGCTTGACAGTGCAGTGCGGTAAATCACTGGGTAATCACAGTGGCCAATTTGGGTTCCACTCTGAAATAGCGTAGGTTCAGACAAAATTAGCCAAAACGTTAGTACCGCTATATTTCTTAGTTATTTCTTTTTTCAATTGGATTAAGGACGATTTGAGACGCACTCTACAACTTTTAGTCCTAATATTAGAATCTGTATTGAAAATATTTCATTTTCCAGTGCAACTATTACAATTACAATTCCTTTGGCTCCAGTCGTTTTTTTTTTTTTTTTTTGCATTCTCCTTCTTCCCCAAGATGGTACGAAGTAGCTGTTTGTGCTGCTTTCTAGCTGAGCGAATGGAACTCACCGTGTTATGATGTTGCCTTGGAGTAGAAGCTCTATACGTACCCCGGAAACTATCGCGTCTTCAAGGTGCTTATTGCCGCCGAGTATAACGGCGTCGACATCGAGCTGCCGGAGTTCGATTTCGCCAAGGATATTAAGTCCAAGGAGTTTAAGGCCAAGACTCCTATCGGCAAGGTCCCGATCCTTGAGACTGAGGAGGGCACCCTCTTCGAAAGCGGTGCTATCGCCCGCTATGTCGCTCGCCTGCGCCCTGACACGGGTCTGTACGGTAAGACGTTCTTCGAGTCTGGTCAGGTGGACGCCTGGATCGACTTCTCCGCCTACGAGTTGGAGGTTCCTCTTGAGGTGTGGGTGCACCCCATCCTTGGTGTTGGCAAATTCAACGCCGCCGCCCTTACCAAGGCTAAGGCTGATGTGAAGAAGGCTCTGCAAACCCTTGAGAACCACCTGCACCTCCGCACTTACCTGGTTGGTGAACAGGTGACGCTAGCCGACATCGTCGTGGCCTCGGCTCTGGTGTACCCGTTCAAGTTCGTGCTTGACAAGGAGTTCCGCAAGCCGTACTCGGCCGTGAACCGTTGGTTCTCGACGCTGGTGAACCA